TTAAATCACTAAAACCAGAATCAAAAGCTTAATAATATGTCAAAATTTCATTTAAATAGCATTAGAAACAGAGGACTGGTAACATGATTTTCAAAGTGTTGTTTGAATCGAGATTGATGAAAATGACGTCGTCGAACGCGTACCCGGCGCACGGAAATGTAATGAATTGTTTTTGGTATGTTTTATATTCACCAGAGACGGGAAAAAAGAGTACAGGAAGGACATTACACACTATTTTTTTTAATAGAAAAGGTGTTTTTGAACAGCATGTCAGAGACTCAAAGATCGTTTTTCCTCTATATCGAAAAAAAAAATAGTTATTGCATGTAAAGTACAGTAGTGATCGTTTAACGCAGACATTTGGGAAAGTTCTGGGTCATGAACGTCGTCAAACAATGTGTATTCTCTGCTGCCTAAAATGTAAGGTGATCTTTCAACTAATTTAATCTTGACTAAAAATTTGAATCTGCTTAAGAAAACGGACAGTAGTGAATTTAAATTAGTCCCGTAGTCATGAGTGGTTTTTCACTGAAAGAATATTCATTTGGATGTTACATGTAATAGCCTGATGTGAAGCAGAAAAAGGGACCATGACGTTATGAGACGCAAATTACGCTTGCTCTCGTGCGCCGATGTACACTTGCATGGTTTCTTTATTTTTTCATAGTTTTCTTATTAAATGTGGTATCGTCATGAAACTTGAAATGCAAGATCATAAAATGTTACTCTTTGCCATGACAAGAAAAGAAATTTGATTTAGCAAAGAGAAAATAAACTATGTTCCCTGTCTACGACTTTTTGGGACAACCCTCGTTTAAGCTGCATATCTATCTTTGTATGTCAATACAAAAATGTTTATTGATTTCTTTTTTAAAAGAGTCTAAAACAATACTTTGTTTACTTTAAACAATATATGGAAACAGCTGATTTTTTTTTTTTTGGAATTCCATTCAATGGGTGTATTACTGATATTAGCCCCACCTTTCATTAATTGCATTAATATATTCTTGGGATTTCACATTTTCTATATATTCGATCAATGCATACTATCTTTGCAAGATATATAACTGTATTCAGCGGCAGCTCACACATATTGGTCCGACCAAAATAATTCCATCATGATAAGTAGATACAACATTATTGTTCATGATAAGAGTAAAGTTGTGTATGTCATACGTTAAAGAAATCAAAAATAACGTCAAAATATCATTAGAAAGTCACTTTCCCCCCGAAATGCAAATAAAAAATATCAATATTCCTACGCTCGCTCCCTCCTCAGCCTTTTTTTTTACGTGTTTGATAACAGAGAATAATTAGGTCATTCTTCGATTCATATCTTTTCACCAATGAATTGATAATACTATATCAACAATTGTATTAAGTACATGTTCATAGTCCGTTAATTATCATACAATTTGTTCTTAAAGAAAAAATTAATCATTCTGTGTGTGTGTATTATTAAATGACGGAATTTTCAATCCCTGGCCTGCTCGTGTGTACACTTTGTAAACTGTAGGGTATGTGTGGCAAAACGAGAACTGCATGGGTTGAAGATTCGGGTTCGTGTTGAAGTTCAGCATACCATTATATATAGAACTTGAATACTGTAAGTAATTTCTGCGACAAATATATTAGTATATTTCAGTTATTTTCAAAACAAAAAAGGTTTTCCATGTTTTCAGTTTAGAATTTTCCGACCCGGTCCTGATTTTCCCAACCCGGCCATTTTAAACACAAGTTGTTGCAGATGCAAATGTTAGAACAAACAATATAAAGTTCAACAGGGATTGTATAATTTTTATTAATCAGAATTCGTATTTATGTGATCTAATTAAGAAAAGAAAAGTTTTGTCTGACACCGTAACTTCTCGGCAAAACAAAACGTGTTTCTCCGAGCTCGCTGGATGCGTGTGACAGCTCCATTGCACGTGTGTAGACCAAGGCTACAGGTACATGTAGGCCTATGTGTACTGTTTGTTAGGAGACTGGGTGACCGTAATGCTATGGAATCACGATATTTACAACAGTTCCATAATTAGACAGTGCAGTTTTTTTTTATTAACGTCATTATAAACACTGTTAACATATTAAATCTAACAGTCGAATATCTTTGGATATGGGGTAACCCATATCTATTCTTGTTAAAGTTGTTTTTATTCAAAAATGAGACTTGTATGACAGGTCTTATTTAAACGTTTACACACTGTCTAGATAAGAAATATTTTCCTTAGTATAGTAAAACCTCGCAATATTGTGCGTTTCCTTTTATTAGTCTGACCCCAAATTTAATCATGGCGGTCGAAATATCAACAAAACATGACATCCTTCGTTGTTTTCAAATTTTAAAAACCTTTTGTGTTCTTTCCACTTGGATTTGGTAATTAAATTAAAGTATGACAATTTTATTTTTGTCAGTGATGTTGGCGAAATTTATTTTGAAATCGATAAGTAGCATGCTCCAAACGACCGGCAATCATCTTAACTTTATGAACGTGGTAGTCAGCGCATTCATCAACATGATCAACAAGATCAAATATATCTCTACGAGAGTTTTTTTCTTACCGCTACCATGTCAAACACTTCATTCAGTTCCTAATGTCAATCATTAACACGAGACTGAGAAAAGGGAAAATCAAAGCATTTATATTTTTATGTGAAAAAAAATGGACAAGAAACAAATCAAATAAAAAAATTTGTAAATGAAAAGTACAATAAAATATTTTGAGTCGGGCTTATTTTCGTGGGTCGGTCGGCTAAGGGCAAACAAACAAAATTTTAATTTAGGCCCAAGATACCAAAGTTTAACTGTACATATTATAGCACTGACAGAAAACTACAGAGCCTCTTAGCCACTACATGATAACCTCTATCAATGCTCTACTCCCTCTCCCTTTCTAACCTATAATTACACTACTTACCCCTCTTACCTACTTATAGTAGTCAGTTAGTACTTGGATAGTAATAGATACTAAGACAGTACTTGACAAGTCCATTTGCTACTTAACCACCAATCTCTATTAATCAGCAATTTTAGCTATCATTTAGTCACCTACATGTAGATTACAACCAGGTAACTATATTCACAATTCACTGACCTGTGTCACTACTTGATGACCTTAATCACTACTTGCTGACCTCAGTCACTACTTGCTGACCTTAATCACTACTTGCTGACCTTAAGCACTTGGTGACTTAAATCACCACATTGTTATCTCAGGCACAACTTGCTGATCTCAGTCACTACTTTCTGACCTTAGTCACTATTTGCTGACCTTAATCACTACTTGCTGACCTGAGTCGCAACTTGATGACCTCAGTCACTACTTGCTGACCTTAATCACTACTTGCTTACCTTAGTCACTTGGAGAATTAAGTCACCACTTGGTGATCTCAGTCACAACTTGCTGATCTTGGTCACAACTTGCTGACCTTAGTCACTACCTGCTGACCTAAGTCAATACTTATTGACCTCAGTCACTACTTATTGACCTCAGTCACTACTTGCTGACCTAAGTCACTACTTATTGACCTCAGTCACTACTTATTGATCTCAGTCACTACTTATTGACCAAAGTCACTACTTATTGACCTCAGTCACTACCTGCTGACCTAAGTCAATACTTATTGACCTCAGTCACTACTTATTGACCTCAGTCACTACTTGCTGACCTAAGTCACTACTTATTGACCTCAGTCACTACTTATTGATCTCAGTCACTACTTATTGACCAAAGTCACTACTTATTGACCTCAGTCACTATTTGCTGACCTAAGTCACTACTTACCGTAAATCTGGAAATTTTTACGTCGATTTATTTTTGCGAATTTGGGTCAAAAAGCTGTTGATTAATTTTTACGCTTCAAATTTTTGCGAATTGTCACTGGTGCTAAAAATAAAAATCACTGAAGATTTTCATATCAGGTTATGTTTCAAATAGTATGCCCAGTTAGAATACCACCAATATACTCGCAACGTGGCAAGATATTTCAAAATCGCTCCGAAACAATTTTGACAAAAATACATGTATAAAAGGATTTGCACTGAAAACAATTTCTTAATCAATTATAACAAACATTTTAGAGGTTGTGTATTTGTTGATACACGGTTAGATAAAATGACAGTTCTCTCTTTATTGGCAAATTAATTGATGAAAATAATTAAAAACGGGCATACCGCCTCAGTGCTTGTCAAATCATCGGACGATATTGCATATAATGAGGGCAATTTACACGCACAGGTAATTAACTTATAGTTGTATAGAAGACTAGTGTAAACAGGTTTCTTTTAAAAATGATCAGTGCTTACCGACGCCTATTCACCGAGTTAAAAAACGACACGAGTTCTCAGAAAAAAATTCTTCACATGTTGATTTATTTTTAAGAAAAATATTTTTGCGAATGCAATGCACACGCAAATTTGCTAAAAATTTATCTACAGTAAAAATTTCCAGATTTACGGTATTGACCTCAGTCACTACTTATTGACCTAAGTCACTACTTATTGACCTCAGTCACTACTTGCTGACCTAAGTCACTACTTATTGACCTCAGTCACTACTTATTGACCTTAGGCACTACTTATTAACCTCAGTCACTACTTATTGACCTAATTCACTACTTATTGACCTCTGTCACTTTTTGCTGACCTCAGTCACTACCTGCTGACCTTAGAGTCAAAACTTACTGACCCCAGTCAAAACTTACTGACCCCAGTCACTACTTGCTGACCTCAGTCACTACTTATTGACCTAAGTCACTACTTATTGACATCAGTCACTACTTATTGACCCAAGTCACTACTTGCTGACCTAAGTCACTACTTCCTGACCTCAGTCACTACTTGCTGACCTCAGTCACTATTTGCTGACCTTAGTCAATTCTTGCTGACCTCAGTCACTACATACTGACCTTAGTCACTACTTACTGACCTCAATCACTACTCAAAGATCCCTGTCTTGACCTTGTCACTTTTCTGTAATATACTTTTAAGAACCTCTTACCTCCAATTCCATGAAATCTCCCAGCCCCTCCACTTGGTCTACGTGGACTCTGGTTTGTCCCACCATGTACAATGTCCTCACCTTCCTCAATATTCCTTTGACCCCAACAGCTCTACCCAGAGTCTCCTGGAAATCAGAAAAGTTCACAATGGTAACTTATAATTAAGGATTTTAAGCAATGTTATTTCTCTTTCAAAATACAATCAACCCTTGTTATCTCAAACTGGATTGGGCTGAGAGAAAAAAATTGAGATGGGAAAACATTTGAGATATCTAGGTTAAAATATTTTTCAAAATAAGTGCACATGTTGGGACCTTCAAATCAAATATCCATCATACATGTTAACTCTCCCGATTTAGGCGGGAGTCTACCGCTTTTTCACTCCATCTCCCGCCTACCGATTTAATTCAGAAATCTACCGCTTTTCTACAAAAGCTGCGTCTAAAGTATTTTTGGTTCGCTTGGGTATCCATTTTTGAAGCCACTCTCATAAAATCTCGCTAGATATCGCGTGATTTGACTCGGAATCATACAAACGCTGTTTTTGTACATAGATTTCAAGCACGGATTTGACAACGACAACAACACAAGACTACCAGTGATTACATTGGTTACGATAAATTAATCAACATCCCTTCCATTAAAAAGGAGATACAGCTTTTAAGAATTAGATGAAAACATCTGAAATCGTCTTTAAAAGCACAGAAGCTCACAACTTTATCAATAAAGTCAATAGAAATCACTCGATTGACCAAGTCATGTGGCACATCTCTACTTTCGTTTTCGATCATCGCGGGAAATCTGATTTATATAACGAAAGATAGGAACTTGTTTTAGATCAAGATTAAACCATGTCATCATTTGTTTTGTTTAAAAACTGAATGAACATTCAGAATTATTGCTTCTAGGCTATATCAGCAAAGATCACTCTTCAAAAGGCTAAGAAAAGCAGCCAATCCAAGCAAAATGATGAGCATGAAAAATATTTGAATTTGTACAATTTATGTCAAACTTAAGGTGTTTCTGTCTTCTTCTTTGCTGTTGATATTTAAGATTAATTAGTGTAGGTACCTGATTTCATTTAAGGCTTATAATATACATGTATATTACATGAAAGATATCGATAATCCAAGCGTTAAACAACACGCGTGCAATGCTACCGCTTTTGAGGTCAGAATCTCCCTATTTTTCATCACAATAGGTTAACATGTATGTATCCATGGTGTTCCAGATACTAAAGTTCAACTGTATGACAATATGGCCTTTGTAAAATTGATAAAATACATAAGTACATTAAGGCCCCTGAAGAGGAAAAGAACAAGACTGTATAAGTGGAAATTTTAGCGAGTTGCAAATTTAGTGATTTTCCTTTAAAATGGGTATTTTATTTTTAGCGATAATTAGTTTAAGCGATTTTAAAATGCTCACTAAAGAAGCTAATTTGTAAAAAATGCAATTAATTTATAGCGATATTCAATTTTAGCGATCTTGACATCCTCGCTAATAATGCCAAAATTAAATCCTCACTAAAATTCAGCTTATATGGTATCACCTTATTCTATAAGGGTGTTTCCAAAATGTTACCTTAAATGAAGCAGGATCTTCTATGGGGGTTGTGTAAAATTCACTGAACTTAGGTCCTTCTTGGTCTGGTCTGTCATAGAAAATCAGCTCTGATTTTGCGTCCTATTAAAGGAGAATTTTTTAATGATATACACATACACATTCTGATAGATTTGAGATTTTTTTTAGATGTTGAAAAATCTAAACTATACTGACAGTTGTATAATCCAAATGTTGTGTATTCAAAAATCTTGCCTAAACGGATGCAACTTTTAAGTTCCTATGAAAAATTAAATTTTTATATTGTTCTCTAATTTGAACAGATATTTAATCCAGCTATTTTTTTAACCAATGGCAAGTTTTATTCTATTTATCATTGTACCTGGGTTTTGTCTAAATCCCTCTGTAGGACAAGAAGCTGGGGGGGGGGATATTGTAAATGTTTTATATTTGGCAAATTGGCGAGTACGATACTTGGCAGAAATTCATGTTTCAAAAAGTTAGCATAGATTTGATTTAGGGCTTTCTGAATGTGCTAGATATAAATCTATGATAAACAAGACATCTAGCGATGTACTTGATTTAGCAGACAATGCTTTCCACTAAAATTACTTAATAGAATACACAGCCAAATATAATACATTTACAGTACTTCACCTCAACAACATTTTCAAAGTGACTTTACCTTAATGGTTCTTAATTTCAAACGACTGTTTGGAACATTGAAAAATACATCTTCTTGTATCAGTTCTTCTCCTTCCGTTCTGCTAAGTTCTTTAGCTTTCTTTTTAAACTCTGAAAGGCTTGCAATGGAAGCTTTAATTTCCACGTTTGATGGCATTCTGCAACAAAAATACCCTAAACATCCAAATGTCACAAACAATATGTCACCATAGGTAAAGCTTGGTGACAAATAATTTAACGTAGTAACACAAAAAACAACATCACAAAAAACCGAATCAATACTTATTTCTCTGCCTGGAGCAAGGAAAGACTCTGAATTTCTAGTTATGACATCAAAATGACTTACAGGGCATACAAAATGCTCAGATTACTGCTACAGTGGACTAGAAAATCATTAACAGAAATTACACTGTTAAGAGCAAGAGAAGCAGATGTGATGTTTAAACTGGTAATTGGATTTTTTCAGGTAACATCTGTGAATATTTTAATTGACTTTATAAGTCAGACCAGAAAACAAGTGTTCTGCACGGTTTACTTAACACAAATTGACAAACACTGGGAATTAAGGACCATGTTTTCCCTTTGTTCCAGAGCAAAAAAAACTAACTTTGTACAATTCAAACCATGACACAAATTCTCAATTTTCATTAATAAAATGTTTCTTATACACATAATCAGCCATGGAACTTTTTGATCATTTTAATATCATGACAGTATCAATTTTGCATAGTGTGTGCGAGATTGACTGTGTTTTAACAACAAAGCACAGATTAATGTACTTATGAGCCTCCGAACAACAGGAAGTTATAGTTGCAATCTGATTAAAATACAGATCTCTACATAGCGCAAAGCGCAGAGACACTTTGCACTATGTAGAGATCTGTATTTTAATCAGATTGTTATAGTTGGAGATCAATAGTTCAACTGATAAAGGATGGGTTTCCAAAAAGCCCAATTAATTTTTTTTTTATATTTCTTAATTAATTCAAACTCATTAATATAAAAATAAATAAAAATCCTTGAAAAAACTAAATAATCCAGGCAGTGATATTTAATTTTTGACCAATGCATTTGAAGACATAGAAAAATAAAATACATAAACAAAATACATCCATGTCTCAACTCAGACATTAACAACCAAAAGTGTCACCTCTGTCCAGAGTGTACATAAAACCAGAAGTCTCTGTCGAGACTGTAGCTCTACTGGTTTATACTTAAAACAAAGGAAGAGAAAAGTAGCAGTTGGGACTTGAGACTTTAAATCAGCAATAAATAGAAAAATGATCCTTGCCACTCATCAAAATAAAAACCGATGCACAGAAGTATGTATCTTATTATAGTCTACTTGTTGCCAAGTTATACTGAAATCAGACCAAAACTGCAGGAGGAGTAGCATTTTGAAAGAATTTCACAGAAATTTCTATTTTTAGTAACCATGGCAACATTGTTCATTGAAATCAAAAACCGATGCACAGAATTATGTATCTTAATGTAGTCTACTTGTATGCCAAGTTATATCAAAATAAGACCAAAACTGTAGGAGGAGTAGCATTTTGAAAGAATTTCACAGAAATTTCTATTTTTAGTAACCACGGCAACACCGTCTATCGAAATGAAAAACCGATGCACAGAATTATGTATCTTAGTGTAGTCTACTTGTGTGCCAAGTTATACTGAAATCAGACCAAAACTGCAGGAGTAGCATTTTGAAAGAATTTCACAGAAATTTCTATTTTTAGTAACCATGGCAACATTGTTCATTGAAATCAAAAACCGAGGCACAGAATTATGTATCTTAGGGTAGTCTACTTGTATGCAAAGTTATATCAAAATCAGACCAAAACTGTAGGAGGAGTAGCATTTTGAAAGAATTTTACAGAAATTTCTATTTTTAGTAACCACGGCAACACCGTTTATCGAAATCGAAAACCGATACACAGAATTATGTATCTTAGTGTAGTCTACTTGTGTGCCAAGTTATACTGAAATCGGACCAAATCTGTAGGAGGAGTAGCATTTTGAAAGAATTTCAAAGAAATTTCTATTTTTAGTAACCATGGCAACACCGTTCATCGAAATCAAAAACCGATGCACAGAATTATGTATCTTAGTGTAGTCTACTTTTGTGCCAAGTTATATTGAAATCAGACCAAAACTGTAGGAGGAGTAGCATTTTGAAAGAATTTCACAGAAATTTCTATTTTTATTAACCACGGCAACACCGTTCATCGAAATCAAAAACCGATGCACAAAATTATGTATCTTAGTGTAGTCTACTTGTGTGCCAAGTTATATTAAAATCGGACCAAAACTGTAGGAGGAGTAGCATTTTGAAAAATTGTTTACAGACAGACAGACAGACAGACGGATAGACAGACGGACGGACGACGGACGCATTACTATCGCATAAGCTCTTCTGGTCTCTGACCAGTAGAGCTAAAAATATTAAGTAACACGGATAGGTTTGGTTTCATGTAGAGAAAATTCAAATAAAACCAACTTAAGGAAAAAACAGAGAATAAAACAATATAATGGACGAAAATGAATGTCACGTTCTGTATGATATCACAGCCATCAGATATGCTGCATATACTCTTATGCTATAGGCCTATAGTAGTCTACAATATGACTAACGTGTTACAGGCATATAATCCTACAGAACATCGCGTTATTGGATTAGGTTTAAACATGAGTTTCGTCTCTTACAGTTGGTTTTGTATCGTGATTTAAGATCATATAACACATTTCGTATTATTTACCTGTGTTGTCATCAACCGAGATAGACGATTTAATTGTTTTGTTATTTGTCAACAAATCAGAGTTTTCCCTCCTTTTTACGAAAAGTTTACCTCCAACTTATGAAGAGTTCTAATTTTCATTGGCTATCCCGTACTTAATTGTTTCGCATTTATAGCCCTTTCTTACTTTGTTTTTTTTTTTTAAATAATTCAAAACATCGTTTGTACAACAATTCAAGAGAATTTGTTATGTTTTTTTTTAAATAAGAATGCTTTCATATTGACAAGACAAGAACCTGCCCGACAGTTTGAGCTTGGATTTCGTTACTCGGTACCTTTTGCTGGACTGTTCAGTTGTAGGGCTGGAAATCCCTAAATTTTGATCAACAAGCCTTTCTTAAAAATAAAAAGCCTTTACGTCCAATGTTTTTCTATACAAATCTTCCAGTCCAAAAGTCTGGCCACGGTGATGTCCAGGGGGATATAGCATGCATTTGGCTAATATTGAAAAATCTTATGAAATCAACTATTGCGCAAAAGAACATAGTTTCGTCAACAAAGGACTTCCACCTTTGAAACGAACTCCATTTTATGGAACTTCCAGGAGACGCATATGTGATTTTCGGTGTAACAGATGAATACATGATTAGTTCTGGCGGGAAAAATTGGACTCGTCTACCTTCAAGGAAAATGCAAGTCAAATAGATGACGATTCAGGGAACTAATAGTATTCGTTATTGGGGTTTTAACAGCAAATTACAATAACCATAGTCATTGCAATGTTAGTAAGACGCAGGAGATCTAGACGCATGTTTAAAATGCCAGAAAACTCAAAATCAAGAAGAACGCAACAGAACACGTGGTCAATCGAAAGATACACCCCAAAGTGTATGAGCGCCCAGGCCCAAAGCTCTCTTATGTAATATGTTTAAAAACAGTATATTTATATAGACGGATTATCAATAAATTTAAAAATACTGACAACCCTATGTAACATGTTTTGTAGCTTTGAACCGAGGTGTTCAAATAAAGTGTCTGATTCATATTTGTATTTGCCTGTACAAAGTTGATGTGTTTAGCCCCTACCCTACTTTCTGGAATAGATAAAAAATCAGTTATCCGGTGTAAAGACGAATAATAACCCCCATCGAATAATGACCGGGATTATTTTTCAACGACAAAAAATGACCCCCTAGCCGTAAAAAATCTTTTTTTGTAGAAAAAGAGCTCCAAGGGTCATTATTTTTTATGTGAGTCGTATAAAAAAAATACCCCCGTCGAAAAATGACCCCTTTTAGAGTGATAAAAAATTTACAAGTTTAAATTGATACAAAGCAAACAAATCGGCTGCAAAAATATATCATTTTATTAGCGATTTTAAAGAATTTTAACGAAGAATCTAGTGGAAAAATTATCTTTCACCATAACTTTTGAACCGTGAAAGATAGAGACTTTATATACGGTGTGCATACTCCACTAATTAAGGTATTTCACATGACACTAAGGTCAATGACCTTGTGACCTTTACTGTGACCTATATGCTAAAAATAGCTTTGTCGACTTTTGAACGATGAGAGACAGATACTTCATAGCGCACAGTTCCTGGTTCCAGGCTTTACTGAAGTATTTGATATCTTCAACTTAATTGCGTGTATAGCCCAGTGGTGCATAGTGATTTGTTTTTATGTTTGGGGTCTCCGGTTCAACCCCCACCCAACCCCTATTCCAGATTTTGATTAGTAGTACATATTTTTTTTGTTAACTTAAAAACGTTATTAATTTTACTATTTTATATATATACCTCATCTCCTCACACACACACACATCCTCTTATTCCCCTCTCTCCCCACTGCATGTCCCACTCTCTATCACAACTAACTTCTCCTTCTCCCACCATGCACTCTTACATATCGTCCCCCTTCTTCTCCTTTCTCTCTCTCCTCCCTTTCCCCACTTACTCTCTGCTCTCTCATTTGACTCTCACCCCACTTACTATCCACTCCCTCTCCCCACTCTCTCTCTCTCCCTTCTCTCCTACTCTCTCCCTTCTCTCTTGCTCTCCCCAATTTCTCTCTCCTTTCTCTCCCCACTCTCTTTCCTCTCTCCCTACTTTCTCTCCTCTCTCTCTTCCCATTCTCTCTCTCCTCTCCTCTCTCTTTCCTCTCTATCCTCTCTCTCCCCACTCTCAGTGTGTGCGAGAGTTATCTTCTCCCACTTCCACTAGGAGTATCTCCCTACTCCAACTAGGGGTATAGAGTCAAGGAGACATAGGAATGTAGGGCAGGTAAAAAGAAAGAGAAAAGTTTCCCTTTCGTTTTTCCCCAACCTATGTCTCCTCTCCCATCATATTTCCTCTCGCAACACGCTCTCCCTCTTTCTAACCCTCTCTGTTTTTCTTTTTTATTTCATTTTTCTGCTTTACAACATTTTGCCATTCTTCGTCGTAGAAAAAATTTACATACGGACACATAAAAAAATAATATAGTTTTAAGTCTGACATTACTATTATCGTCAAAATTTACGGTACTGGTCAATTAGATTCAATCTAAATCACAACCAATAATTATTAATTATGATTTTCAACATTTTTGAAAAATTAATTTTCCAAAGAAACATATCTGTTCATTTATAATCACGAAATAAACCATAGAAATTTGCAACACATACAAAGGGGAGAGAGAAACACATACAAAACGTTTACGCTAAGAATAGAGCATCTGAACCACTAAAAGTGCCATGGGCGCTTCCCATTCCTCTTTATACATCGTATGTGTATGTCAGATTTTCAGTTTTAAATTGTTTTGCAACTTTTATTGGTAATTAAAAAGACTTTGTACACGATATAAATCTACTAGATTATTCACGAAGAGGTTGTAAATTCTATTTTACTATAATTTAATTATATGATATGACAGTGAGTACTGAAGTTATGGAGACGGCGGGGATAAGCAAATTTTTTTAATTTTTAAATGTTTGACGGTATACTAACATTCAGAAGAGAAAAATAAAGTCGGTGTGTATATGATGTATATTGTAGTTGCTGGGGAGAGGGGGTGAATTGGGGGGGGGGGGGGTAATTCAGTCGACATAAAATTTCAAAAAACTAAGATTGCATTTCATCATATTCTAAAAATACAAATTATTTATAAAGATTAAAGGACATGTGATACAATTAAACATCACCTGAACAAATTGTAAAAAGAGGCATTGTGTCGGATTTCAAGGTTGTTTTTTTGATCAGGAACGTGTACATGAAGTACAGTAAGAGATAAAAAAAATAAAGAAAATTATATTAAAATTATACTTTGAAAAAATTATAAAAGTCGAGTGCATCGTAAAAGGTTTGTCCTGTCCACCAACACGTGTGGTTTACAGGCCAAGACATCTTGCCGAATCCTGGTTTAGAATCAATTTTTCAGTTAGTATCAAATATTTACATCCACTGAATATTTTTTCCTTTATTTCTTAAGAAAACCCATTGCGTTAATCACTGCATGAACTACATTAGGCATGTCGCCTGTACAGATTTCTTGATCAGTGGCTGTTCCATCAATGAAACGTATGAAGACGTTCGCATCATTAATACAATAATTAATCTTTTTAATCCTACTTTAAATGATCATTTAAACAGATATAAATACAAGCAAGAAAATGTCTTTCTTTGTTTGTTATTACTTACGCGGGTCATGTATTTTTTCTGCAACAGCTGCTTCCGTTAATTCCAGTAATAACAAAGAAAGCATTTTATTGTTTATATATCAAGTGCCCTCTACTGTTGTTGACTATAAAATCTGCGGAATAACATTACTGTAGAAATAAATTATCTACATTAAAGGTCTTTCCACCCTAACAATTTTAATTATTCACAGTACAAGCTAATTCAGAGATGGAGGTTGAACCCCCCTCCTCGAATTTGCAGAATTATTAAATTATGTACTAAAGCAGTGTAAATGATCCTTTTTCATCACACAATAATAATACTGCAGTAGTTTGTACACAGCATAAGTCATCTTCAATTAACAACTTGTAATTAACAAAAAAGGGTCAATCGGGATTCGAATCGGGGACAGTTCGCATACATATATATCGGATACATGTTTACACCACGTCCTACATTGTTACAATGTCTCTAGTTAAATAAAATTTTAAAAGGAGAGAAAATTTAGAACTGTCTTCAATCTGTCTACGGCCTTTAGGAACAGCCCTCGTCCAACAAATTTTCCAAAAAAAAAAAAATATTGAGAAAGCTTTACTTGCAATGTTTATTTTCCTTTAACATTTAACAATGGTCATCAATAAAAAATACTTATAAAGATGATAAATAAAATAAAGTTAACATTAAAATATTGGAGTTAAAACATTTTTTACTCTTTTTAAATGAGTTTCAGCTATATTATTAACGGCTCCAAATTCTAGAATCATGCAAGACCCTTCATCCATTGAACTTCAATTGGCAGCTTGAAAGTAGACAGCCATGCATTCCTCTGTACGTCCCAACACTCAATATCATCGTGCAGATTTTCCTTTGTATTGGTAGCTAGCCCGCCAATCAAGTACATTTTATTACCTATAAAAGATAATCAAAAGAACCACCATAAAAATACTGTGTAGAGCTTCCTTGTGGTTTTACAATTGCAACTGAATAAAACTATTGATAGGTCAACACATATGACAGCAAAATTATTCAAAAAGACAAATAGATATATAAGGCAAAAAAAGATTAATTTCTTGGGTCTCAGGCCTTATCTCTTCCAAGGGTGTCTCAATGGCCCTGTTTATTGCTAAATTAATGAAATAACAACAACAAACCACACCCATCATCATTTTTTGAGGTACAATGTAAAAACTATCTCATCATGTTTTGAGGGCAATAAAAAGTAAAAAAACAAAATGTCTCCCTCCCTCATCATATTTCTTGAAAAAGGCCTGGAACCAAGGAATTAACTTTACATGGCCTAAAATACCCAACCTGAAGCAAAAGCCGCAGCGCTATGGCGCGCTTTATCCATGTAAGTCCGCAACATCCAAGAATCATTGTTTGCATCATACAAGTCAACATCTTGTACACTTAATGCAACTGACGAATTCTTATCAAATGCCAGTCCTCCACTTAGGTACAGACTATTTTCAACGCAAGTCATTGTGGCATGACATCGACCATATCTTAGACTACCCTTGGTAATCCATCTGCAACAAAAAGTCACTGCATGATAGACAGTTATGAATGTAAAAATGCTTAATTGTAACAAGAACTTTAAAACGTTTTACAAACATACAGTAAAGTTAACCCTGTCCATGTACTTACTTGTCAGTGAATGCATTGTAACATTCAACGCTATCAAAGATGGTAGCAGTTCCATTTTGGGAATATCCAAAGCCTCCAGCTACGAATATGTTTCCATTCAGCTCTGCAGCGCATGCTCCAGCACGTGCTGTAGACAGAGACTTGACAAAATGCCAACTGTTTGTGGACGGGTTGTAACACTCCACTGACTTGAGTATTCTTGGAATAAATCAAAAATAAAATCAGACAACAGTTTTTTAAAACTGTACAATGAAATCAACTTTATACCATTTGGTTAATTTGTAGGACAAAACATCATAAAAAATCGAGTAATCAAACGAGACAAATTTGAACTAAAAATTTAAAAATAATTGTGAAATGATCAATAAAAAAAATTTAAGCTAAAATCTACCTGCCGTTCCTTCCAAGACCACCGATGGCGTAAATGAAACCATCAAAAACACAGAGTGCATGGTGCATCCGGGCAGTTCTCAGTGACGTCAGTTTTCGCCAGCCACGCTCTGGACAGTAAACCCAAACGTCTCTTCGGGGAAGTGGATTGTCGTCATTATAGCGCAATCCTCCTGAAAAACAACTTTCTTTAAAAAATCTCCCAAGATTATTCTTTTTTATCAAAGCAGTATACGATTTTTAGTGGATATTTACCAATCACGTATAACTTCTGGTCTAGCACCACCATGGACGAGTTTTCGTTCAGATCTGGTTTAGGTATTTGGTATGTTTTGTGCTTCTTAGCAAAATCCTCATCTATACAAAAAAAGACATGCATATTTATTATTTACGTAAACTTGCTTCTAATTCTCTGAATCCACATTATATGTAAATTTAATTTAATATATTACAGAAGCCAAGACACCCCAACACGCCAACAGTTAAGAAACCTAATAGTAGATACGTACTGCGGATTGAACTTCGCTCACTGTTTTCTAGTGATGGAGAGGGTTGTTCCAATGAATTTCTACTTCCGGTGAAACTCTCATTGTACATGGCGTAATTATCGTAACTTTCAATGCTTCCGAATGAAATGTCCATCACGTCAACAGGAGTGGCGTTATTCTACATTCAAGGAAAAATAAATATAATAGTTTTAGCAAAAATAAACCTATCATCAATATCCTAAAATGCTATTTGCTTTAAATATCTGTAGTCATACTACTGTATACTTCAAGTACTCACATTGATATGGTTAGTACTGTTGTTAGAATTTTCCTTTGCCGTAAGATACCTTGAGTCTGGTATGTGCAGATTTAAGGGATCTTGTCTATTAAGTCCCATCACAGTTCTAATCCTTTGAAAAAAAATTAATAACATAAATATGATCGATTTCAAAAGTTTGGTATAAACTAAAAATACTAGCACACGCATTAAATTTTAGACAATGACATGAATACATGTATTATTTACCAGTTGGCCTTGAAGATCATGTTAAGGCAATTTTCGTTGGCTGCTAGGAGATTACATCTATCTATGCACTCAACTAAGTCCTTTTCAGGCATCAAAGGAAACCGGATTATTATTATTATTATTATTATTATTAGTACATGCAATAAATTATAGACAATGACATGAATTAATATATTTCATATGTATTTACCAGTTTGCGTTTCAAGACATTTCGCTTGATTGCATCTATGCATTTTTTGAGGCATCAATCCAATTATTGTCTAGATACTGAACGCGTTCCCTGCGCTGCGCAGAAGACATCCATTTCAGAGGAGGTGACCAATTCATCGTGTGAAAGAACAACAATTAGAGTATCTAAGTCCATCTCCAGAAAAGAGCTGCGCTGAGAAATTTCTAAAAACTTCTCTGAAATGCACCTGAGAATTGGTGACATAAAATCATTCATCGGGTCCTTCCTCACTGCCATCAACAATGGAACAAAATCATCTTGCGGGAGGCGTTCCAACTTTGTAAGGCATCTTTGCCGAATAACTGGAACTTGAAATTGTCTCGAGATTTTAACCAAATCCAAAATGGTCGATGAGGTGACTTCAAAACTCCCGGTGTAAACAAAATTTAGAAAGGCTTTTAAGGACAGGATTGACAGTCCTCTAAGACGTATCTCAGTCATTGGTTTCCAATTCATTTGCTTGTTTTCAATAAATACGGTTTCAAAATAGGGACTAACTGAACATAAAGCACCTTTATGGGCGTAGAGAACATCGTCATCTACACAAAAGCGTACGTCACATACCTTACCATGATCGTAACATTGTTTATAATATGAGCCTATCTTGGCAAAGTGCTTTGTTTGATTGTTAGCTTCCTTTTGGATTTTGTCTGAGTAGCCATTTGTTTCGTTTGGCATTGGAGATGGTGAATTCTTTCTCATCATGACGTCATTAGTCACGGAATACAGGGAAGACTGGGTGGACATTGTACCGGAAGTACGCCCAACACTGACTGGATTTGAATTATGGGTAGAGGTGCGACTGCCTATTGGTCCATCGACAGTAGATTCATACAATGAATTTGTTGACAAAGATCCTCCAGGAAAAGCGCCAGTCTTATCTAGAGGAAGCAACATAATTAACTTTTAATTGTTTTAATCCAAATCTAAACTGAAAAAAAAGATAAAAAACATTGTATTCATGAAACACTGATCCCTTCGTATGTCGGCTTACGTCAAAGATAAAGTTTCTCTAATTGTGCCAAATTTAAATGTCAAGGTCAAGAGATCAAAATTGTTGTTATCCAAGAAAAGAAGTGACTATGGATATGCCTGTGCGCACTGCGACTAATTTGTAACATAGTATAATAATGAATACTTACTTATGATTTAAATAATCATAACCCCTGGAATCTTAGAATACTGCTGCATGAAAATAGATATAAAAGAACGCGGATATTTAACATTATTTATACCGCTCTGTAACAATTTTGCAATATACTTTATATACTAAGTAGTATCATATACATTTGTATACTTACTTATGTTTGAATAAGGGCTTTGAGACGCCAAGTAATAGTTGTCCTCTTCGGAAGTTTGGCTCTGGATTTACACAAAAGTCTCATGACAAGTTGAAAGTTTTGTGGACAAAAGGACAAACAGACAGACGGAAGGACAGGGCAAAAACCATAACCACTGGAATCTTCCGATTACTGGTGCATAAATAAAATTATCAAAAAAAGCGGATATTTAACATTATTTATACCGCACTGCGACTATTTTGTAAAATACTTAATATAGTATCATATACTTACTTATGTTTGAATAAGGGTTTTGATAGAAGTTATTTTGAGACGGCATGTAATAGTTGTCCTCTTCGGAAGTTTGGCTCCTACTGACAAGTTGAGCTGTACAGAGAGAACCGGAAGACGATGTAGGGCTGTCTCTGGTACATCGAGGAGCGCGTAAAGAACCGGAAGATGTCGGGCCTCCATTGACATTAAGAGCAGCCAACCTTTCCTCTGTCACTGTATGGTCTGATGTGGTAGACTGTCGTCCAACTATTGTATGATCGCTGGACGAACAGAAGGAGGAGAAATCTTCTTCAGAAGATTCTACTGATGACGGACTAAACTGTATACGATTCATGGCCGTATCCGATGTGTTTGGAAACATCTTCTTCCACAATGCATTTGAATCTCGTTCGTAAATGCTGTTTGTCGAAAGGGCATTACGAACTTCGGGACTTTTATTTGTTGCTCCTCTCTGGCTTCTCACTACTTTTTTCACCAAACTCGGGCGAAAAAAGCCTTCGATTTCTTTATCAGCGGCGTCTGGAAATCCATGTAGTCGGCTCCATTTGGAAAAAGCAATAGGTGGCGGTTTGTGAAGGCCTGTGGGAGACTCGGAATGAGTACTGGGCTTCTCAATAGGCTGGAAGGGACTTTGAACTTCATCTCTACAGGTACCAGATTGGTTATCCCAAGAAGATGTATGCCGTAGATGAATACGGGGCCCTTGGTCTTGCATCACATTTTTCGGCCATCTTCCTTTTCCTGTATGATGAACAAAACTATCCGACTCTGTATTTCTCACAGATTCTAGGGGAAGATTTGGAAAAGAACGGATGGAATTTGTCCTATTCCTTCCAATTTCCATTGTCTCTTGCTTTGTAAAAGGCTATAACTGGAATTCTTAGCGCTGTTTGTTTACAACTACCACAACAAAAACTGATGTGAAGATTGCATTGTGACGTAACTACAATGTCACTGTATTGTGACGTAATAATGGGTGTTGTTAAAATGCAGAACTGAAAACGAACGGAAGACGGAAAATAAAGATAAAAGAGATTTTTTCAAAAGTGATATATTTAAAATCATTTTTTTGTAGCAACATGTTCTATAATTCAATATTGATTAACAAAATGATTAACAAAACGCTCACAGCATACGTCATCGCAAATTTGTTGGTTTTGGCGAAAATTCATACGTATGCATGAACAGTTGAGTTTCGGTTTGTCTTAGGCTACCGCAAAATTGTCTGTTTCGGCTTTATGAAAGATCTTGCACAGAAATAAAGAATGTATGTTTATCAAGTTGTTTTTTTTTTGTTTTGTTTTGTTTTGTTTTCTTTTTTCTTTTCTTTTCTTTTTTTTTTGTTTTGTTTTGTTTTGTTTTGTTTTTCTTACTTTTATGGGGTGGGTGGGAATTGGAGTAAAATAATTAATATTAATATAAAAATCAAACTAAAATTATTTCAATGGATAAGGACCAATTAAAAACTTCCAAATTCTTGCAGTTCGTTGTCTTTGTTGAAATTATTTGAAGGCTTCATAGAAAACATCATTTATGTCATCCCTTTTTAAAACAACATTAACAATCTTTTTCATTTCTTTAGATGTTAAAATCATTGTTTCATTTTCAAGTCCTCAGTCTAGTTTCTCATGTACACATGTAACTATACTGCAGTCCAGTCGGCCGTATCTCACACGTATTAGGTCGCATCTGTGTTTGAACGCGGCAGAACGTCTATTAGAAAAATTTAATGAATGTTACATAATTAACGTGTGTTAAACCTCCGTTTGTGAGTTGTGAAAATAGGAAAAGTTTCAAACATATTTTCTTGATATTATATTTTGTTTTTAAGGATGTTTATGACTTAACTACGGAAGCGCATTAGTGCCACTTGGATACTTTTTTTTAATTTGTACACTTTTATCTGTAAATTTTACACTTTAATCTGTGAATTTTTCACTTTAATCTGTAAATTGTACACTTTAATCTGTGAATTTTACACTTTGATCTGTAAATTTTACACTTTAATCGGTAAAATTTAAACTTTAATCTGTAAACTTTAAACATTAAATTTATACATATTAAATTTCAAAATTTCGCTGCATTTCATTTCCGGAAATCTGCATAGCATTTCCGACATTTTTTTATTTCATTTCCGACATTTTTTTTATTTCATTTCCGACATAATTTTGTTTTCATTTCCGGAATTTACCTGTGCGGCAATTTAATATTTTCCTTAATATGTAGTCAGTAAAAATGAAATTTCAAAAGTATTTAATGCAAAATATTGGTATAAACTAAATATATTATAATTATAAAAGAAAATGCAGTTTTCACTTAAATATCAGTGACAGCACCATTTTTATTATTCTTTATTTGTAATACATACGCATTATCACTTTAGTTATGAAGAAAGTTTTTACTTCGGTTGATAACGCATTGCTCTACACAGAATTTTATTTTTTTTCTGCTTTACATCTGCACAGAGTAAACATTTCAATCACTCGAACTTTAATTTAGGAAGATGCCTGCATTTTCCAACAGTCGTTTCATTGATAAATTTATAAAAACTCAGAACTTGGATTTCAATGATTTAAAATTCTTTAATTTTTTTTATAGGTAAAGTTTCAAATCAACATATTAAATTTGAAAACAAAAAAATGTCGGAAAATTGTCGGAAATGAAAAGTTGATAATTGCTCAAAATTCCGGAAATGAAATGCAGCCCAAAATTTACAGAATGTATTACCCAGGGGTCATATCTGATTTGGATAATCTTGACTGTATGCATTTGATAATTTTATTTTGATGTGAGGATTATTTCACATGAATTCCATCTTTCCTGGCCCAATGGTTTTTGAAAAGAAGATTTTTAAAAGATGCCATTAATTTTTCAATTCAGAATTATGTCCCTTCGAAGAAGGTGCGGCCCTTCATTTGTAAAAACTTGAATCCCTTTTATCCAGGGATACTTTTTGGCAAGTTTGGTTGACATTGGCTCAGTGGTTCATGAGATGAAAAATTCTCCATTCATAGTTATCTTCTGCTACGCTCACAGCATGATGTATGTGGGAGAGAAGCGGGAACGAGAACTCTGGATAGAGAACGGAGATGAAGATGAAAATGTGAAAAGTTAACGACGACGACGACGGAAACAACGACAGACAGTGGACAAATTTTGACCATAAAAACTCACTTGAGATTTCGGTTCTGGTGAGCTCAAAAATTGTGATTTTTCGAAAGAAATTTTTCTTTGAATTTTAAACTCTATCAATACATGTTTTGCTTTTTATAACGACAATATAATTCTTCGTTATGACTTCAAACAAGGCCGCGGATATCTTTGTTCCATCAACTTATTCCCCAAGAGCTTGTGTTGTTTAAGAAGTTACGCGTGCATAGAGTATATTTTTTCGCATATTAAAGTATAAACTGTGAAACATAAACTCAATAACAGCTGATGTTGGTATTAGCATTTCTTTGGGGAAAATTATCGATAAAAACCTTTATAGGGGCCTATAAAACTTAAAATTCTATAATGAACTGATATGTAGTCTATGAGAGTTATCTCTCTTAGAGGTAAAATGCATGAACCAGTCTAATTCTTCGATCTCCGTAAGACCATATTGTGTACGACGCGTATCTAAGAAGTCTGATTTTAACTAAACTGTGCATGAACCGAGATATGCCTTTGTTTTGAACAGAAAGTGAAGAATTTTCTTTATCTGCCTATTGATCAAAAAGGTGTATTGCCAAGGGGAAATAAGTTTGTACTTATGGGGTTTCTTATGAGAGAAAGCAAAACACAGATAATTGAAAACTAAAGTTTATTTAAAAAATAATCATATTTTCAAGTAATTATTTTTTAATAATCAAAATATTTACAAGTAATTAAAGCATGCAGAACGAACTCTTAGTTTCAAAGCCAAACCAATCCAAAGAAAATTTTAAAGAAACAATTGGTGCCAAAAAATAAAGATAAATTCAAGATATCATAAAATTGGAGACAAAAATCAAAATGTTTCAGATGATAGCACATAGTGCTTACTGTAAGCTATCTGCCAAAGATATATCATCGCAAACATAAGATTTGCCAAGAAAAATTTGCCAAAAAATAAATAAATAAAAAGTTATGTGTGGTGCATGTTCAAAAAGTCCTGAAAGACAAGCGATGGGCTGGCATGGAATGTCACAGGGTGGCCCAGAGAGTTTATAGCACCGCAACACATAATAACTGTCCCGTACATGAAATATCACAGGGTGGCCCAGAGAGTCTATAGCACCACAACACTTAGTAACCGTCCCATACATGAAAATATCACAGGGTGTCCCAGAGAGTTTATAGCACCACAACACATAGTAATCGTCCCATACATGAAAATATCACAGGGTGTCCCAGAGAGTTTATAGCACCACAACACATAGTAACCATCCCGTACAGGAAAATGTCACAGGGCGGCCCAGCTGAAAGATTATAGAATAGAAATAGATTTTATTTCCAATCATCATGGTCCCACTGGGGGCATAACACAAATACAAGTATATTATTACATAAAATAGAGACAATGTACATAATAAAACATTAAACCAATTTACCATGGTGGTGTGCAAATACTGTAAATACAACATAGTAATATTCAAAAATCATATACAATATTTTGATATGAATTGACTTAATAATCTTAGGATTTACTCATTTTCATTTGTAAAAAGCCATATTAACTTTTCATTAATGAACCTTAACCCAATTTAAACATGGTGGTGTGCAAACATTGTAAATATATTAAAAGATGAAGGTCTATTAATAGTTGCCAGTCTACAAAAGACATCAAGGGACGGTGCTTCAGGAAATGCATGAATTCTAGTCAAAAATATAAAATGAATAAAAGGTTGCATTCCTCCTCATGTCTAATGTAGATAGGCAAAAACAGCTCAATTATAATTTACAAAAAGTAACAATGTAGTAATGTTCAAACATCATATACATGTACATGTACAATATTTTGATATGATTATAGCACTGCAACACATACATGTAGTAACTGTCCTATACAGGAAATATTCCTCAGAGAAAATCCCACTCGCTGTACTTTGGCTCATGGTATGTCAGCCTTTTCCACTTGCGCTGGTGGCTGAATTTCTGACCATTCCAGCTGAAAAAAAAATTAATTTTACAGGGTATTGACCAATGCTGAACTAAATCTACACAATAATGGTTGAAAAGGAGGACAATTGTACAGGGTCTATCATCTCATTACTTGCGAATTACAATTTTAAGCCCCACCCCTGATTTACAAAAACTAATTGCGGTATTTTTTTAACAATGTAGAACCTTTCTGTGTGTAATAATGCTACAGATGAAATATTTAAGATTAAAAATAACGATATTCTTTTCATAATATTTTGGGTATAATTTTCTTTTCATTATTAGTTAAAGTCTCTTGCCTTCATGTGTAAACTCAAAGAAAGTGACGTAAATGAGACACGTACCAGATGAGAGGGATATCTCAGTAGATCCGCCTCCCTCCAATCAACATCCATTGTCGCATCATACTGAAAAATCAAAGTACTCAGAAGTACAGAGAGCCGGGCTTATTTACAGAGTAGAATGGATTTCTTACATGAATAACGTTTATACTCTGATGAAAAAATTATTTTAAAACTATCAATATAAATGATAAGACACTGACAGTGAGTTTTTCAATCCTAATACCACGGTCCGATTTTTTCAGAATCAGAATTAATCTGGTACCGCAGCTGAATGTTAACTAACAGGCCAGTCTGGTTCCCTCTCCTGCTTTACCTCGGGTGTTGCTAAAACGCGGAACGGAAAACGGAATCAAAAACCCTTACGCTAATGAAAACGGAAAATTTTCAAACAAATAACCTAATGTTTATTTTATATCAGATATAAAAAGCAATATTCTTGATATAAAAGTCATATCTAAT